AGTGACTTATGACCGTTTTTCACACTTACGACTGTTGCAGCATCCCCACAGTCATAAGAGGCCAGGTGAGGAGATGCGTGCCTTGATGTGAGTGATATTGAGTTGGCCATGCCCAGCCAGTAGTAACATGACCACCAAGCCACGTCCACCCTATCACATGACCATCAAGCCACGCCCACCAACTAAGCCACGCCCACAGAACTGGTTGTTAAAAAAATCTGAATCCCACCCCTGCCTGCAATTCTACAGTTTGCGTCCTCTTTAAAATTCTGCAGCCTGGGAATGCAAATTGAGCATAAACCGGATAAATCGAGCAAAGGAATCCAAAACTAGATTCTAAAATCCAAAAGCGGAGTTCCCAGTCCTGCTTAAATCATGTCAACACTTCCCATTGGCATAGTGTTTTTTTTTTAATGCATGCTTCTAATTAAATTGAAATTTTTGCTTTTGTTTCTGCTGGGCCAAAATTCCAGAAATCATAACAATCCTGCACCATTTGCATTAATCTTGCAAGCCAGTCTGCCTCCATAAAGCCATTTCCCTCCCCAACATAAATTAAAGGTTGAGATGCTTAAGAAGTCCCATTTTTTTCCCTCCCTCCCTCCCACCATCCCAGCCTACAGACAAGTCCGGCTTATTGCTATGCCAGGGCATAAATAACGGAGCCAGCTCCAAAGCAATTGCCTGTCTCTTCGCTTAAGCTGGTTTTATGTTCTGCGTCCCATGAGTTTGGGCCAAGGGAGAAAATATGGTCTGGGGGGGAGGATGGGAGAACCGTCAAACAAAGTGGGACAAATGAAGGGGACAAAAAAGGGGAAGCTTGAAATCGAGCGGCTTAATTCTCTCTGTTGTGGATCCCGTTTGGACAAACTCCTGCCGCAAATAAAAATCGCAGCTCAACAGCCATCCTAAATGCGAAAGAGACGAAGCTGCGGGGCTGCCCTAAAAATTAAATAAACTTAACCTGTTGCATAATTTGCTCCTCTCTTGGATTTTAGGCTCACAAACCCATTGTTGCACCATCCACAGAGCCCAGAAGGGACTTTTCAAATCTTCTTTGTGGCTCTTCTATTCTTCCAAAGGCCAAGACATCTGGAAGAGAAGGAAAGCTTCGTCTCCAAGTAGCAAAGCCTTCTGACTTCCATGAGCTCCTCAACCATATCACAAATGTCCAAGATGGGACAGCAAATCCCCAAACCTCTAGTTGATTTTCATCTCAAAGAGAAGCTCAGAACAGTGTTCAACTCTAGGTGGCTTTCTTTGAAGTGAAAGAACTTAGGAGTGATTGGTTTAGTTGTATTTAAAAAAATAATCAGCCAATTTTATCCAAACCAGAGGTTTATCAAGGTCTCTTGTTTGAATTTATGATTTGGTTTGCTTCAGATTGAAAAGAGGCTGCAGATATGGTGGCCATCCAGATGTTCTTTGCTAAAGTTCCCAGATGGCCCCAACCAGCTTGGTCATTGATGAGGGATGCTGAGACTTGGAACACCTGGAAGGCCAGAGGTCTCCTCTTCCTTACTTATAGAGTCTCCATGTATCTTATAGGGCCTCCATGCATCCACCTAAATTGCTAGCCAAAGCCGGAGCCCAGATGAAACACCCAATAGCTCCTGAACAAAGGAGGTGACATCAAGACCACGAAGACAAATGGAGGCAGGTTTTTATCCGAACTTCAAAAGCCAGAGGGCCTTCTATCTGTTGCTTGTGTCCTTTTATTCCTCTTTAGAAATCCAATCTGTTGAATTCAAATCCAATCTTCGGATCTCAGCAGCCCACAGGCCAATTACTGTCCCTTGACTGCAAGCACCTTTCCATGAACCTTGATGAGATGGAAAATCCCTTCACAAGAAGATCAGAAGCCTTGAAGACATCGGGTTCAAAAGCGCTCAGCAGCTTCCCTTCTGGGGTTAATTTTTTAGGAGCAGCAGGGTAATCACAGGCTGCCTTGATAACTCATTCTTGACTGTGATTCAATAAGAAGAGACCTGAAGCCCTTTGAGGTACCAAAGAGGCAGGTATAGCTTCTAGACGTCGTGCCAGAAGATCTCCACCGTCAAAGAAGATGGGGACGATCCATCCAGGGAGGAGAAAAATATTCCAGGTTCTATCATATCACAAGACCTAAAATGGACACCTAACATCAAAAAAGTCATCAAAAAAGCACAACAAAGAATATTCTTTCTGCGCCAACTCAGAAAGCTCAGACTGCCCAAGGAGCTGCTGATCCAGTTCTACAGAGCAATTATTGAGTCTATCATCTGCACCTCTGTAACTGTCTGGTTTGATTCTGCAACCCAACAGGACAGACACAGACTTCAGAGGATAATTAGGACTGCAGAAAAAACAATTACTATCAACCTGTCTTCCACTGAGGACCTGTATACTGCACAAGTCAAAAAGAGGGCTGTGAAAATATCTGCAGACCCCTCACATCCTGGACATAAGCTGTTTCAACTCCTACCCTCAAAACGATGCTATAGAGCACTGCACACCAGAACAACTGGACACAAGGACATTTTTTTCCTGAATGCCATCACTCTGCTAAACAAATAATTCCCTCAACACTGTCCAACTATTTACAATTTACTATCTACTATCTGCTATCTACTATCTTTACTATTTACTATCTGCACTACTATCACTATTAATCTTTTCATCGTTCCTTATCACCCATCCCCTCCTACTTGTGATTGCAGAACTGTAACTTTGTCGCTTGTATCCTAACGATCTATATTGACTGTTTCCTAGTATGATTTGATTGCTTATTGTTCCCTATGACTATCATTAAATGTTGCACCTTATGATTCTTGACTCTTGACGAAATATATCTTTTCTTTAATGTACACTGAGAGCATCTGCACCAAAACAAATTCCTTGTGTGTCCAACCACACTTGGCCAATAAAGAATTTACATCCACAAAAAATCCCACCAACTTTTTTGACCCTTCCTGCTTTGAGGACACCATCCTCAACCTTCAGCCAAGCCATGTCCAAAATCAACTTCTCTATTCTGCAGGACAAGCCTATCAAGAACAAGCCTATCACACCCATGTCCAGCATCAGACTCCAGGCTGGGGACCCTGCATTGACGATCAATAATCTCTTTTTTAGATGTCAGAGCCAAACTCAGGATTTGTGAGACAACACGAGTGTCAGAAATGCCATTGACCTGAGATTCACTTTTAAGAAAGCCCTTTATCACAGTCTTAATACTCTCATACTAACACAAGGAATTCAGCACATGTTAAAACACCTTTTTAAGCCACAGAGATGATCAGGAGACTGGAGGCTAAAACATATAATGAACGGTTGCAGCGGTTGGGTCTAGTTTAATGAAAAGGAGGACTAGGGGAGACATGATAGCCATCTTCCAATATCTCAGGGGCTGCCCCAAAGAAGAGGGAGTCAAGCTATTCTCCAAAGCACCCAAAGGCAGGACAAGAAGCAATGGGTGGAAACTAACCAAGGAGAGAAGCAACCTGGGACTGAGGCGTGAGAACAATCAACCAGTGGAGCAACTTGCCACCAGAAGTTGTGGCATCACTGGAGGCTTTTAAGGAAGAGACTGGACAGCCATTTGTCTGACATGTTATTGTGTTTTCTGCGTGAGCGTGTGGTTGGACTACAAGACCTCCAAGGCCCCTTACAACTCTGTTGTCCTGTGAAATAAAGGACAATTTTGGAAAAAGGACAATGGATCAACTTCAGCTGCAGTGCTTGGTTAGGTTTATATACTTTTAGGGTGCTATTAGCCATGGTTTATTCCACCAACAATTGCCTTTGCACAATAAACCTTTAAAACAGTTTACAACCCAACAGTTGAGGCTCATCACGCACACAACCCAACCAACCAGGCAATTCCGACAAAGGGCAGAAGGGAAGGGTCCAGGAAAACCCCCACAAAGACACATAAACCGCCAAACCCTCGGAACTGCTTGCAAACCACCATCTAAATCATGACGCGGAAAGATTTCAGGCGCTTGAAATCGATTCAACAGATCTATACGTTTTGTCCTGCGGGGGGTTACAAGGGGCGGGGGCGGGAGGGGGCTGCAAAGGGCAGCATTCAATGCCAACGAAATGCAAAGCTGCCACCAAACCAGAAAAACGGGGCGAAGAGAGCCAGGAGCAACTTATCCGGTGGCGTCGGGTCGCCTCATTTAGGACTAGCGCCTTGTCTCCAAAGGCAGAGATTTTCCTGAGCAGCGGCTCCCAACGCACAGAATGGCGGGCTCAGGTGGGGAGCGCTGAGGGCGAGTCGTCCAGCTTAAAAACAAAACGCTGCCAGTCCTTAAAAGAGGCGACCAGATGCCCTCGGTGGTGTCCCAGGCTGACACCCAAACAGCATCTCAGCACCCTGGAGTTACCCCGGTGGGGAGGACAACGGGAGAAAAGTGTGGCCGTCCAGATGTGGTGCCGATACAAGACAACATCCAGATATGCGCAACATCCCGACCTTCTGGGCTGGCCCGTTGCCAATTCACACACACACGCGCAAACCACCACACAGGCCGAACCCGCCTCTCTTAGGATCCCAGGTGAAAGCCTCCGGCATCAATGCGCCCCTGGAGAATTCCCCCCCCCCCCCCCCCCCCCCCAAGGCCAACTTTGAGGGTGACTCGGGGCGGGGGGGAGTGAGGGACCCTGGAAGGAGGCTGGTTCCTCGGCCCCTGCCCGGCGATTGGGTCAGCTCCGATAGACTGCGCCTGTCCCTGGAGTCTCCCCCTGCCCTCCTCTCTTGCGAAGCCCCTCTTCCGTCCCCCCAAGGGTGTAGGGTCTTCTGCTTGGTCGGGGTGGGTGGGGCTGGGGTTAGACTAGATGACCCTACAAGGTCCCTTCCAACTCTGTCTCCCGCAGAGCCTCCGCCTCGCTCTCTCTCGCGCGCCCGCGCCCCCTCCCCATCACGCCTCGCCCGCCCGCCCACGCACCCACCCAGCCTCCCTCCCCCCCCTCGCCCAGGTCCCCCTCCCCGGCCAGGGCTGCGCGGGCTGCCTTACCGAGAAGCCGGCCCAGAAGGGGCAGGAGTGCCGGACGCGGGCCGAGGTGGTGAGCGCCAGGGCGGCGAAGCTGACGGCCACGATCAGGCAGCCCAGCGCCATCTGCGAGACGCCCAGCGCCAGCAGGATCCGGGAGCGGGCGCGGAGCTCGCGCAGGCGGGCCAGGCGGCGGGACAGGGCGGCGGGGCTGAGCGGGAGCGCGCCGCCGCCTCCTCCGCCGCCGCCTCCGCCGCCGCCCGCCAGCAGCCCCAGCGCCCCCGCGGCTGCATCGCGGCGCCCGCCCAGCGGCATCTTCCACCCCCCGGCTTAGCAGCCTCGCCGGCTCCCCGGGCTGCACCAGCCGGGCAGCCGCGGCTCCTCCTCCGCCGCCGCCGCTGCAGCCCCGCCGCTGCCTCGCCGCTGCCTCCCCTCCATTGCGGGGCGGGCGAGGAGAAGCGGCTGCCTGGCCGCAGCTGGCACCTCCGCGGGCAGCTGGGCTCGGCGGCTGGCTCCGCCTCCCGCCCCCGCCCCGTTCCCCCCCCCCACCGCCGCCGCCCGCGCCCGGCGGCGGCCCGCGGGCGCCCGGTTGCAACTGAGCGCGAGCAGAATGCGCCTCTCGCCTTGGGGCGCCCGCTGGAGACTTTGCCCCCCGCCCCGCTCCTGCCGCTGCGCCCCTCGGACCCCCCCTTCCCTTCCCTTCCCCGAGAGTCCCTTCCAGCTGGGGGTTTATTTGGGACAGGGGGCCCCGGAATGAGCCCTGGTGGGAGCGAGGGGGTTCAACTCAAGGCTTGAATCATCATCCTTCAAGTAGCAACATGCGGGCCATGTGCAGAGACCGTCATTGTTGGTTTGTTTGCCCTCCAGCCCCCCCAAAACGGATGGAGGGTGGTTTTAGTTTTAATGAGGCTTTTCCTTCGCTTGGGGTACTTTCTGGCACCCTGGAAGCGGGGGGGGGGGGGGGGGAGCGTCCTGGATACCTCGCCCCCTTGTGTCTTTCTTGTTCCATTCGGGTAGCCGAGCAACTGGAGTGAAAAATAGTCACCTTAATTTGTTGTGTTGGGGGTGGAGGTGAGTTAGTCTAGGACAGGGGTCCCTAAACTTGGCCACTTTAAGACTTGTGGACTCCCAGGATTCCTCCTCCAGTCATGTTAGCTCAGGGATTCTGGGAGTTGAAGTCCACCAGTCTTCAAGCTGTCAAGTTTGAAGATCCCTAATCTATCATCTATCTGTCTGTCTATCATCTCCTCATCCATCTATCCATCTCCATCCATCCATCTATCACATATGGGTCTCCCAACTTGACAGCTTTAAGACTGGTGGACTTCACCTCCCAGAATTCCTGAGCTAACATGACTGGAGGAGGAATTCTGGGAGTTGAAGTCCACCAGTCTTAAAGCTGTCAAGTTTGAAGACCCATGATCTACAGTATCTATCTTCTATCTTTATCTATCTATCTATCTATCTATCTATCTATCTATCTATCTATCTAT